ATTATAACCATGATGGGATGTCATTTTGATTATATTCAATATACTGATCAACATATTGCTGGTGGTAAACCTAGTGACATCCTAGTAATAGGCCATCCCTGAATCCAGAAGTCACCCATGGGTACAAAAAACAAGAGTGGCTCAGCGGCATATCCTGTACCACTTGTAACATCTTATAAAATCTTATGGTTCACCATTTTGTGGGGGTTATACAATTACAATAGTTGATGCTCAGTGTTTTATTGTAGGTTATGGTTCCTTTCAACATCAAGCTGACCTGTTGATATCTGGAATCTTGAAAACCGGGTTTTAAGAATCTGACCCTATAAATATAGGTTGACCAAGAAAACCTTTCTTTTTGAAGATCGTTGGGGCTCATGGTATATATATATAACTATATATACATGTTAATTATATAATATACGTATAATATATATATATATATAGTAACTTGTTTGAATGATTCCTGGAGTTGTTCTTTCATGAGGCTGATCATGGGCGCCTGAGGGCTCTGCTTCTCTCTCCTGCAGAGGCTGCGTTGTTTCGTGAGGGACCCATGGACCCAAGAAACGCCACAGAAAACTATATATGAAAGCCACAGAAACCATTCACTACATACCATTCCCATGATCCAGGTTGTAATATATAACCCATAGGATCCATGTATGCTATATATGGTAACATTTACCATCAATATACCCCCAATGTTAGCATATATACCATACATGGATCCTATGGGTGTTGTAATATGTTCTAATGTCGGTTGAAAAACACGAAGAGTCTATGAAATGAAGTCGCCCATCTCGACTCAGTCTTTTTCCCCGACTCGGAAACATCGGTGCGACTTCTTTTCACGACTTCATACGACTTCCCATTCATAGATGAGTTTCCTTAAGAAAACTTCTTGATTCTCCAACCACCTTGGATTTGTCTTCCTAAAATTCACACTTTAGTTGGATAAGAATTGGTTAAAAACTCAGCCCTCATCATTTTTGATGGTTGACACATGTCAAAACCACCGTCCGCCCTCCGTCCAATCCCCTGTGATCCGCATACGCCTGGGCTGACTCCGCAAGGGCCTTGCCATGACGACCTGCGCTTGGGACCTACCAAAAGTTCCTTAGTTTACCCACTTATATATGGGATGACCCTACTTGGGGGACCTGTCAACCAGGGTTGCCAACCATCTACTAAGTGGGATGATCCTTCAAGTAGTCATTTTGACATTTTGAACTTGATACTTGATATCATCTTTTCAATGTGTTTTTCCGCTTTCAACGATTGCCTTGCGATCTGAACCTGATCTTTCACTTCAAAACAAAGGAAATGCGATCCACACATTAAAACACGGCAACTCATGAAAATGGAAACCCAAGGTTCCAGCAAATTGAACAAGGCAAAAACGAATGCACCACATACTTAGGGGATAGCATTTCTTCATTGAGCAACTATGAGACCAGAAACATGTTTGAATACACATCGAAGTAGTCAAAGGCAATCTTCCCATATCGCTTCATATTCAATACTATCCCAAATCATTCGCGACACTCCTCGAAACGAAGGTTACAGTAATTACAAAATTACAAAAACGGAAAACTTTTCACACTTCCCATGGTTTCATGGTTTTCCGACTAAAAATATGAGTCGGAAAAGCCCCACTTTTCCCACCTTGTCGAACCCATTGGGACGAGTTGTCAGTCCTTGGCCAGGACGCAGGTTGTTTCCTACCCTATCCATCCTGAAGACGCGTCGTTGTTTGGATGATGTTCCCTTAAGTAAAACAACATGCAGCTTAGCAGCTTGGTTGAAATTATCACAATATTCTCAATCCGAAGATGCTTGTTGAATCTTGTTGATGAGATCAATCACGATACACCATGCAAATGCTCTCCCATTCCCCAACTTCAATGAAAACACCGCTTGCCTCAAACACCTCTTCAGACTCCAAATGAAAAATGGATAAAAATGGTCTATAACACCCCCCCTAAAAAGGTAAATAGTCGAAACTCGTCCCTTTGAACAAAAACACATCTCCAACGTAGACCCACCAACCACTCCCCCAACTGGTTCGGACACCAAGTTGCTCAGGTTCTGAGACCTTCAGCAAGGGCTGATGATTAAGAACTGGATTTTGGGGCTACCAAAACAATGAAAAAAACATGGATCTGGGTAAATTATCATGTTTCATTCACCTGAAACAAGGCTGGGGATGATTCCCCTATACATACATTCAACATGATTCTAGTGAGGTCACAGTGAGGTCACTATAATTTTCCCAGATGGATAACTTCAAGATCTTTTGGACACCAATCAGATTTATTTTTTTCTTTCTGGCATTTTTGTTGAGTCTATATGAGCCATGGTCAATACTCACTAATTATATGGTTGATGGTCATTGGATGACTAGCCCCTATTAATGGTTATTAACCATGAGTATTGACCATAGCTCATATCACTTCAACATGTTCTATTGAAGTTTGGACGTCCAAATATAACCATTTTAAGGGTAGCTCCCTTGAGCCCGTCCTGTCCAAATTTCAGGATCAACATCTCAACGTCACCACGTGAGGAACACATAAAGCACTAAAGCTGTTTCTTGTGTACCCTCTGGTAATGGCTGACATAGCTATTGAAAATGACAATTTATAGTGAGTTTTCCCATTAATAGCATGGTGATTTTCAATAGCTATGTTAAATTACCAGAGGGTAATAGAATCATTAAACAATGAGTTTCCATGGTGTCTGGCCAAATCCATCTATATATATATCATCTATTTTCAAAGAGGGACATGAATCACATCATATCATAAAACAAAAAACATTCCTGATTCTATTAGGTTATGTACATTCTATTGACTCTGGGAGAATTGTCCATACCTTTTTCGAGTGAACACATCGTCCATGGTGGTTTATGGATTCCCTGCCAAAGCTTCAGAGTGGGATACATCCAGCACAAATCTGCTGATGCGGAAGCCGCCTTTAAATTTTGCTTGTGATATACCCATTTGTTTAGTGGTGAAATATGGTTAAATCGATAATCTATCTATCTCTATATATATATATTATAAACATATAACATTATATAACTATAGTTATCCAGGTAATTCTTTCTTCTGGTGAAAAAATATGATCAAAAAGTCTGGTTATATCTAAAACTTTCCCAGCCAAAAAGGCATCAGCATCCGCACCTGAACGCGCTGCAAGACCTTGATCGTTGGAGCCTGGTCCTGGGAGGCTATCTGTAAGTGTCGGAAGTGGACCGAGAAAAATCGGGGAATTACCCGAAGAAATGGAGCTTCTAATGGGAACATCAACTGTACATGGAGTTAAAAAGATGGGAAAAACTTAGGAAACACATGGGAAATTCACCTCTCAGTGCAGGTTTTGGTGGGAACATATGAAAACTAATAGGGACAATTTTATAAACAAAACCCTCCCCCAAATAACAGTTTCACCCTGAACATAGCCAATTTTGAGTGAAGCCCAATCTTCCCATCCTCCACTCAAGGTCCGTATTAATTGGAAGGATGGTAGAGAGATTCAAGTATCAAACATTGGAAATTGAACACATGAAACCATCAAACATGAGGAATTCAACTGATTAAACCCTCAAATATGAGGAGTTTAGCAATAACATTGGTGAGTTAGCCAAAAGAATCTTGGAGGTTTGCAAACAAACAAAAGTTGGGCTTGAATATATTTATTTGCTCTGCAGCAAACATGGAAAACTACGATGTTCAAAGGTAAAATCATCTACAGTAATTATATCAATTCACTTTTTTCATGGCTGGGTTGGATACCAACAGGTTGTTACATGTTCTTGATGAGTTTCAAACCCATTGCCTGTCAACGTCTCATGCTGGTGCTTTCTACAGCCTATCCGTGTGTCAAAAACCCGTTGATTTGGGGGAGACGATTCTGACAGCCCCAACCAGAGACCAGATTTCCCTCTAATCCTCCAGAGAGAGAGAGAGAGACCATCAACGGCAACTAGATGATTTTGGGACCCAGTCATTTTTAGCACACCATGACACACCCACTCACTTTTAGCTCATGTTTCCCCTAAGTTTCCTCCAATTTTCTCGGAGAAATCAACAGGTATCGCAGAGATTCAAGGAACTATTGGTCAAGGCTGCGGTGCCCAATATCGTCTATCATTTCCAAACCCTCCCCAAACCAGCCTGTTACTGGTTGGATGGTGGAATCAGAATTTTCGGAATACATGATTCTTTCAAATATCCTTTGGTTGCTTAATGTAGCTATGGTACAGATGGCCCATTCATAGATTATTGATGCTGATTTACCCATAGGATTCATGTATGGTATATATGGTAACATTTACCATCAATATACCCCCAATGTTAGTATATATACCATACATGGATCCTATGGGTTATATATCTAACATACGTATGTTAACATGGTGATTTTCCAGTTCGCTACATTGAATTGCCGGGTCAATGTCCACAAAATCAGCTAATGGAGAAGCCTCATATCCAGTATGAATGGTCGAATCCAACATGTTGAATAGTTCCATCTTGAGAGACTTGGCTATTGCTATTGATGGTTCCGGGATTTCCGGGCATACACGACTTCACAAATATGAATTATGGTCATTTTGGGATAGTTACCCTTACTAACCATCAATCTAAATGGTTATATGAATCATCTACTCCCCAGTAATCTAAAAGAACTACAAGTAACTCATCTACAAAAGAGCAATTTGTCCGTGGCAAACTCTTAGAGTTTACCAAATTAATCCCATTAAATCCTCATTCCTAAATCATCCTTTTTTTCAATGCTTCAACTAGCCGATCTCCCACGAAATGCGCACCTCTGCGCCTCGAAATGCGCCTGCTGGGTGCCATAAAACTGGAAACTCAAATGATCCCACCATAAAATCGACCCTCACCGTGTGGGGAACATTCGAAAACTGTTCAACATCCTGAGGCTTCTATTTTGAAATATGTTGGCTCTAACCTATAAATGTTCACCTATTTTCACCTACTGGTGGACACTATTTTTTCATCCCATGGTGGCCGGCCTGGCATCTGCTCTAAGGCTCGGGTCAGAGCTCGGGTGTCCCAGTAGTGGCCCAGCAAGGAGATTGAGGCGTGGATACTCAGACCTGAGATCTGCTGGTTTTTTTGCTGAGATCTGCCAGACCAAAAGTGATATTAGTACAAGGTGGTGCCCCATAGTTTGCTAAGTTGGTTTATAAGTCCCATAACTATGGTTTATGGCAGATATAACGAACTAGTTAATGGGGTTTATAAACCAACTTATAACTGGGGGGCACCATCCTGTACCATATAAAAGTGATATATTAGTACCTGGAAATCCCCGATATCCGAGGGAAAAAATCGGGATCCAATTGATGGAGCTACGAACTTAGTACCATATGTCTGGCCATATTTCGGGGGCATATCCCCTGGAAAATAGGCCTGAACAATAGGCCCAACATGTATGGTAGGTACCTCCAACAAATCAGTTCCTGAATCATGGCCATTGCACTGAAGCCATGAGGTGCAGATGAACTAGCATGAAACATTGGATATAAGCATGGTGGTTTAATGAGATATGAAAATGATTGAACATGACAATTTTCATGGGATAGACATCATTCATACACTCTCGAATGTTAAACAGTTTGCTGCGGAAAATGCGAGTTTTATGAAATTGGGTTTACCACAGAATGATAAGACATGATTTGTGGAATATTTTTGGGTAAACAAAATTGTTGCCGATCATTTGTTGATAATTTGTTTCCTGGACATTGTCTTTGAAACAATGTAGTTCCAATTTGGGGTTATTTTTTTAAAGTATTTTGAGAACATAACATACATGGGGCTTTCCTAAAATGGGGGTACCCCAAAACCATAGATTTCAATACTAAAATGGTCTAAGTTTGGATGATTTGGCGGTATCCCAACTTTAGGAAACCTCCACATGTACATGCTATTTGCTGGGCCATTTTTAGAGCCATGCTCCGGATGCGATCTACCTGGAGTCAAACACCTCTGGTATCCTCTGGCTCTGCCATCTTCGACACACCAGCCATCATGGAAAACAATATTTTGGATAGGATCAAGTAAACTGGCACAACCGAGAAAAAATAGGACATTTGCTCAGAGTTGGATTTGTTTCTTTGATCATATGTTCATGATATGTTGTTATATCAGGTTATATCAATTTCCAAAGAGTGGGAACGGTAGCACTGCCCACTTGTGCCACCATGGGGTCCACCAACAGTTTCCAAAAAAAAACCGACCAACCAACGTTTCTATATCAAACCCACCTCGTCACGAGGCGTTTCAACATTCCAATTATTTCAAGTGGTTGTTCAAGTAAGTTTGTATGTCATGTGTATGTACGTATATTATATATCACTATATATGACAATATATGACAATACATGACAATATATGACTATATATATATGACTATATATATAACTATATATAATATTATATATATATGACGTGACTATATATGACTATATATGACCTTATATCACTATATATGACTATATATGATTATCTATATATCTATCTATGACATTGTATGACTATGTCTTATCGTATACCTTAACAAAACACAACGAGAATAGATCCTTTGAACTCCGGCTCCGCAGGGCGGCGTTTCTTTCCGTTCACCAAGTCACGAGGCATCCCCAAAGTCATCCAGGATCGCTTGGTGGCATTTTTGGGACCCAAGATGCCTGGAACCATCGAAAGCCATAGGAAGGAAACTGATAGGGTACCCATAGGAAACCCATTTTTTGGGATTAGAAACCCATAGGATTTTGAAGTTTTTTGTTTTTGGGTACCTTGGAGGAAACTGTGCATTTCAAAATGTGAAAAACCCATATGGTTTCCGGTGAAGATGATCCGCATGGCGGGTTACACCGTCTTTTTGTAAACGTTTACAGCTGGGTAATTTGTGTGCATCACCGGATACTCTCAGTTCTGGGAGGCTGGCATGATACGCAAGAAAAATCACAGAATGGTTCACAATGACATGCACAAGGAACAAAATACCGCACTTATCAAAGGAAAGTTTAGAATCCATAGAACTCATTACAACTCCATATGGAGGTTTCCATAAATGGGGGTACCCATGGATTTTTTTTGGGGGGTGGAAAGGCCGAATCTAAAATGGATGATTTGGGGGTACCCCCATGACTCAGGAAACCTCCTAATTATATGTATATATATATATATTTATTATGTAGAGTATTCCAATTTAAATCCATAGAAATCATTGCAACATCCATATAAATTCCCCATTTCGATCAATTTTTTGGCACTCCAGAACTCCCCCCGGGCCGCTGTCGCCTTCCAGCAACTTCTGTCGGAAGTTGCGTGGGAAGTCGCGGGCACCGGCATGGTGTAGTAGAAGCACCTTGGGAACCGTGGCCATGGCCCCCCTTTGGACAGAAATCTGGCTGTATTTTTTCCGTAACGAAGTAGTGATTTTTGAACCAATATGAAATTTCTTGGAAACCTTTGGTTTTCAATTATATAATAGACTTAGAAAAAACACTGAATATAACATACTGAATCTACCCATTAGTCAAAACCAATAGAAAGAGACCATTCTCCAGAGTCAGTAGAAGTGAGGTCGCTTATGAATTCAGCAACAAGGATACCAAGGGTGTCTAACCCAAATATCCGAATACTATGAACCAAGAAAAATGAAGAAAGTGCAATGAGCAGGCTATATCTTACGGTCCAATGCAAAGTGAACATGAGGATGCGCTAGCTTGTTGTCCAGGTCAGTTGAGGTTTGGACCTAGGAATCTTTACAACGCGCAACACAAATCTGAAGAACAATGAGAACCTGAGGTCAAATTCAGATGTATGTAGTTATGTCCTAGCTCAACCCTTCGCTGACTGTCTATTGGAGTTTAGGGCTTAAACCAATCAAAACTTGTGGGTGCTTCCAACCTGTCCAAACCATGTCATTCAGTATCATCATGACAGGGATGAAAGTGAGCTATGTCAGCTATGTCTGTATCCATTGAATCCAAATGGATTAAAACATCATTTTGAAAACCTCAGCACCGGAACATCAGAATGTAAGGTCATTGGATTGTTTTAAGGGAAAATCTACAGGAAACCATGGTTTTTACCATTAAATATGGGGTTTCCTGTAAATTTTGCCGTAAACCAATCCAATGATAAGAGGTTACCCACCTGGATTTCAATCCATATCCACCCGGCTCAAGGGACCACATTCTGAACGCCCTTGGACGTAGAGACGCCCGCCCTGTAAGGGTCGAGTTTCGGACCTGTAGGCAACGGAGAACGCGCAGTGGACGTGGGAAAGGCTGCAGTGTTTTTCGTGGTTGTGAATTTATCAAATATACTATATACTATTAAAGATAGTTACAGTACTGAACAGCTGGTCACACTATAGTTAGTAATACAGCTCCATAATGTTACATGTGTAATAGAAAAATAGATAGATCTTTACCATTCTTGACCCCTGATCCATCCAAGTACCTTCGGTCTTTGGATCCATCCCCCTAATGGCGATGCTCCACCATAGGGCCAGGGCATCCTTCCAGGTTTTTGAGGCGAAGTAATGCGAAGTACCGAAGTATCCAGTGAACATTCATAGGGTACCAATGGACCAATGGGTACGTTCCTAGATTCGCAGTCTTTTTGTTACACTTGTCATTCCTAGTTCTGCCTGACAATTCTGGGTCTGAAAAAAAGGGCTCCCCAAAATCCATTGGAACCTCATTTTCACTCAAATTTCCATACAATTGATCAGTTGATTGGTAGCCATTTTCAGACAACCCAAGGCGATCAAGTTTTAAGTCAATCCAAGGCGATCAAGTTCATCATTGAACTCCACCGGTGAACATTGGGCAGCCCAAAATGGGATGATCTGCTCCTGAGGCACATCCCTGCCTGTTCCGCCGGAGGTCAAATTCCCCCATTTTCAGACCCCAAAGGATAGCAAGCTGGCTCCCATAAAATATCAGTATATACATAACATATATATAGCGACGGACAAATACTTAGAACATCATTTGGAAAAAAAATCTGAAAACCGTCACAGCGGGGATGTTCTAAGTATTAAGTCGTTAGAACATACCCAAAACCTATACTTAGAACATTTCCAAACTATACTTAGAACATCCCAGTGGGGAACCAATAATGAGGCATCTCCAAAACATTCAAAATTATACATAATTAATTTTAGCTCATTTTAGTATTGAAACTGAAACCTATGCTTTTTGACTACCCGCTGTAGGAAACCCACAAATTATATACTAGAGACCTTCCCAGTGCAGCGAAGACTGCTTGGGATATTGTTCCCGAAGAAAAGGTATAGAATGCTGCAGCAGTGAGGGGAGAAAGTGTTCTAAGTATGGTGTTCACCAAGGTATTTGTGTGTATATATGCAGATTTACCAAAGTAACAGGACATGTTCTAAGTATATGTGTGTTTAATGTTCTAAGTATGCAAAAAATCAAAGGAGATGTTCTAAGTATCTGTTTTTCTGATGTTCTAAGTGCGTACTTAGAACATTTCTGATGTTCTAAGTGTAGTTGTTTTGATGTTCTAAGAAAAGGTTCCGAAAATTTTGGAAAAAAATGATGTTCTAAGTATATGTCCGTCACTATATATATATGTATGTATGTATGTATGTATGTATGTGTGCGTGTGTATCTTCAATATCATAGTAAGTTGGTTCCTATCAAGTATCAATATGTATCAAATATTATCAAATATCGTAGTGGCTCCCATAGAATACCTATATCCCTCTGATGGCGCGCCTTCTGAGCCGACTTCCAGATCCAAAAAGGCCGTCTTGTTGGGGTGTAAAGCGTCACCTTTTTGGTGGAAATGGAAGACTCCAAATTTGAGAAACCAGCCCTTTTTGGAATTGAAGTTTATTTATTTGGATCATCAAGTTCATATATTACTAAAAAATCCTAAAGAATCATTGAAGTCTATCTATCTATCTATCTATATATATATAAGATTATATAAGTCTATACATTTCTTGGGCTACTACCAGGGCTCAACAGACGTGGCATTTTTTGGGCTTCATTTCCTCTCGACCAACTCCGGGGATCAACAGACCGAGCCCTGGAATCATGTTGTTTTTAAGGGAAACCATCCCCTTTTATGGCCGCAAGATTCAGGTTAGTGAAATATCATAGAGTGCCATAGATATATGTGCCATAGATATATATATATATATGTATATTTATATATATCCATTGAGCAACAAAACTAAACTGACTCAACTGCCTAGAAAATCTAGGCCCATAAAATGAAGGGCTCTTCCTGAATCCTGGCCTCGTTTGGTCATGATGTTGCTGGCATCGCCCAGAACCACACAGCCATCATCCACCGTGAGATTAGGATCTGCCTCAGTGAAGTGGGTTGACAAGGAATATATCGCTGTATTTTATATACATTCTATATATATACATATATATATATATATACAAGGGGTATAAGAGATTATAACTATTAGTAGATTTTTCATAGGGATTGACCAACTACAACTGGCGATAGTTACAAGGGGGGCCCCCGTTTGTCATGTTTCTTGGTTTACAAACACCATTAATTACAGTTGTATCAGTTGTATCTACCATAATTCCTACTTAACCTACTTATAAATCAACATAAATCAACTTAGCTTAGCTAAAGAACTAAATGTGATCTCACCAACATAAGTATGATTGACATCAATTGATACTATCTCATCATCCAGAGCAGCAGTAGAAAGTTAAGAAGCATCGGAAACAACCCACCAAATAGTTTTCCAAACATCTTAGACATACATTCTATACCGACATCAACACTCTATTTCAGTATCAACTCCTCCAATGGTCCAATGGTGAACGGTTTCCCTCCTCAGAAGGTATGTCTGACAATGTGGGTATGTCTCGTGGTATGTTGTTGAAATCCTTGTTGTATGTGTCGGGTGATGAACTATATAATTATTAATTCTTATTATTATCATTATTAATATTACCATTTATATTATCATTATCATGATTATATGTCTATCTAATCTAATTATATGTATATATATATATATACACCTATATTTTAAACAAATGTATCATAGAACGAAAACGCGGTCATGCCCAGTAGGAAATCCCCTTGAAAACCGACGTCTTTGGGGCTGCCTGGACTGCGATTGCATTATGGTTCCACCGTTTGTTGGATCGCACTTGAAAAGGATAAAGCCTGAAGCAACCCACAAAAACACTTACCCTCTGGTAAACTAACATTTTGCTATGGAAAATCACCATGTTTCATGGGAAAATCCACTATAAATGGTGATGTTCCATAGTTATCTTAAATTACCAGGGGGTACAAATCTGGTTGCTTGGCATTTTTCCATATCTCAGGACTGTTCCACCTCCAGAACTTTCCACGTCAAGAGCAATCTTGACACCATGCAATTTTTAGCTGGTCAGTATACATCAGTGTGTATATATATAATTATATATATATATCATTATATATATATTGTTATTTATATATATATATATACAAATCCCCATTCAAAGCAAGTATAGCAGCTTAGTAGACTCATGTATATCCAAAGTTTAGTCCAAAGTTCAGCCTGTTGGTCTAAATCCCCAGGTTAGTATACATCCCCTGGTTCCTTTCTTGCAGCCCCATGAATCCTCATTGTCCTAATTATAGTTATACCAGTTATACATAGTTATATCGTAAATACTATTCCTTAAGCTACATGTTCCATCCAACAGTGTCTTGAGAGGGGGATTCTATGGGATTCTACCTCGAAAGGGTACCCTCTGGTAAACTAACATAACTATGGAAAATCACCATTCTTAATGGGAAAATCCACTATAAATAGCCATTTTCAATAGCTATGTCAGCCATTACCAGAGGGCATCATTTTCCCCAACTGCGCCAGCTGGGGGATCCGGCCCCTCCCAGGGACCTACCGAGGTGCTCTCCAGTCACCGGTGGCCACGCGCAGGGCGTTCACCAAGTTCCGCTCCGTGGGCGCGGCCCGGTGCTGCAGCTTGAGGCAGGTGACCAGCGAAGGGTTCACCGTCAGCACCTAGCGGACCGGAGCGGTGGAGCTGAAGATCAAAGTATAGCTATAGATCTTGGATGATCTTGGGATATTTCTGAGGATCTTGATGAGAATTTCTGAGATATTTCTCGGGATTTCTTTCGAGAATGCTTCGGAGACACTTTGAACAACTTTGAAATATGTCCAAGTTGAATCCCAATTCAAGGAATTCAAGGAGGGGGTGGAATCCAATGACCGTACCCGTGGCGAACGGCTTCATCTTGGAAGTGCCAAGCTGGTGGAACGAGGGGGACTGGGAAGGTTTAAGCAGCCGGGAATAGTGGAGAAATTCCAACTTGGAAGTGATGCCAGAATCTTTTTCAGCCATCATCCCGAATGGTCCCAAGATGTCCCAAGGTTTGCTCTAACATCTGTACAACATGTCAAAGTGCCAAACAGAAAGTGTACAGTAACAATCTTCAGCAACACAAAACAGATCCATCAAAAAGTCAGGTTGGGACCATGGAGTCAAATGAAGTCTCATCTTTATACCGTGGCTATGGGTAACTGCCCCCAAATTCATCAGATCTCCGTGTGAAAAATATGGAAAAATCATCTATCCAGACAGATCCAGACCCTCCAAGTACCCATCAAAGGTGGTGTTTTACATTGTTTTAACCCATCATTTTCGTGTGTAAATCGAGGTATTTGGAGGGTCAACTGGCCAGAAATGGACAGACACTTTGACGAAACTTCTCCAATCCCAGCCTCACCCCCAGGATAGACGAAGGACAAGGCATGACACCGATGCTCACCTCGCAGCGGGTCGAAAAACAAGACCGCAAAAGCCTCTGGTGAACTCACATTTTATGCGAACTGGAAATTCACATAAATTCACCCTTTTGAATGGGTAAATCAATCCCATAGGATCCATGTATGGTATACATATATATATATGCTAACATTTGGGGTATATTGATGGTAAATGTTACCATATATAGCATACATGGATCCTATGGGAATGTAAAGCAACTATAAATGACAATTGTTCAATGGGTAAATCAACGACAATTGTTCAATGGCTATGTGAAAAATTACCAGAGGGTAACAGAAGAAGTCGCCCAGCCACTTCTGGAACACCAGAGCTGAGAGATGCAGCAGCGCGGAATCTCGTATTGTCCATCCCGTTTCTTGTCGTCCGCCACCACATCTCGGGGAGAACCACCCATCCTGGGGACGACAGCGATGTATCAAAGTAGACCGTCCGATGGTGAGCACCATTGAATTGCTAGTAAGTCGATGGGCAAATATATCCAAATATGCAAATTCAGAGAGGTTTTCAGTTTTCATGAGTCTTGATATGTCTTCAATTTTGATCCATAGATATTCATAGCAAACATCCCAACAACCACCAAAGGTGGCAGTGGCACTTGGGAACCATGTTTCGGGGAACAAAAAGGCTCACTGGTGCGATGCTGTGACCCAAGAGATATGCAATGGATTGGTAGAAGGGAAAATCTAGAGGAAACAATGGCTTTTATCAACAACCATGAGGGTTTCAACTGAAGATTTGATTTTAGCAAATTTTTTGGGAGATATTGGTCATTATTGGTCACAAGCTGACTGTAAATCTCCATGTCTGTTGGTCTTTAATTATCTTTAATTTCCATCAGTCATGCTTGTTACCTTTCATACCTTGATGGTATTTGTTGGTTAGACAATCACCAATCCCCTTTCAGGATGAACCATTGGTGATCAATGATGGGTAATCCAGAAAGCATCACATGTTGCTGTCTTATTTAGATTTGTTTAGGATTGTTTATTCGCACATTCCCACTTAAATGTCATTACAATCAGGGATTACAATCAGGGTTGCTTTTAAACGTCTGTTCCCCTTGTTTCTAAACTTCCAGCCATTGTAAATTGAAACCCATCCCAGCCATTGAGAGCCCCGATAAAGATCCCATACACAGTCGTCATCGTCCCGCTGCTAAGCGGTTGAGCTAAGTGCCCTCGTTGCAATGCCCGGCTAGTGGGGTGGATTACTACCCAATAAATGATGATCATCCGCAACATATTGGCTGGTACAACCCCACCCGAAAGCATCAGCATTCAACCACTAGGGTTTTTTTATGCAGTGCTCAACTTACTCACCAGCTATAGGCATTGTATACCCATAATATCCGGATTATTATCCATGTTTCCTGGCGAAATCCAGAATTTATGGATGTTACTATAACCAGATCCAACAAAAATCATACTCCTCAAAAACAACGTGATGGTCGTTGAGTAACACATCACCAATTTGCTAAAATCATGCAGAGTTCTGGATGGCTATGGCTATGGATGGTTATAACCAGTTACACCTTGTTTTGCAAGTCACCCTGAGTCATTAATGTATCATATACCCTGAGTCATTAATATCATATACCCTGAGTCATTAATATCATATACCCTGGGTCATTAATTTATCATGACTATATTATAGTCAGTAATATCATATGCCCTGAGTCATTAATATACCCTGAGTCATTCCTATATTCCATTACCCATAGGATCCATGTATGCTATATATGGATATATATGGTAACATTTACCATCAATATACCCCCTTTATGTTAGCATATATACCATACATGGATCCTATGGGTTAATATAACATCACTTCCAGCGAGTCACGGAACGAAGACCCAGAAAGTCCCCGGCAGCGGCGCCGCCGCCGGGCCGGCGCCGGCCGCGGCGCGGCGGGCGCGGGCCACGGCGGGAGCCAAACGGCGATACCTTGGGGCGGAGAAGCCCCGAAAATCGTTGGACAACTTGGACAAAAGTGGCTCCGGTGCTTATATAGAGTATATTTGTTTACCTAGTTTACCTAGTTTACCTATTTTTGAGAAATTGTTGAACTATGTTGAACTATGTTGAACTATGTTGAACTATGTTGAACTAGATTTGGGAATTTGGGCCATCTCGGTAAATGTATGTCTGCAACAATTATAGATATGTGCAGGAGGCTTGCAGAGGATAATGAATATAAAACGATGAGCCACAGCTATAAACTAAGCATGTCTGAGTTTTGGAGGGGGCTAGCATGTACATTCTATTTGTGAATACGATGCCATTTGATTCCTGATCATGATTATATATTGATTATATAATGCAGATATGACTACAGCCAAATTAAGGAAGGCATAACTTAAGGATACCTAAGGTATATCTCCCCAGCACCACTATTATGATTATTATGGAGGCCATTGATATAATGGATATCCAGTAGACAGTAATCTGATGCAATCTGCATGTTTGATACAGGATGGGGACCCTACTGTATCTATGCCAACCAGAAACCATTTCTTTTTGTGCCCAAGCACACAAAAGAATGGCAACATCCAAAATCCACAATTGGCCATTCTAGAGCCCAGCTGATATCTACACTGTCTACAAATCTCAAACATCCCATAGTACTTATGGACTTGTCAACTCCTAATCCCCCAAAAGCCTCTTGCGGTCGGTGTGTGGGAACCATCCGCCCCCTGCAGCAAGACGCTCATGGTGACCATGGAGGACGTCGATGATTTTGGAGGTAAATTCGGCTTGTTGCCCCAAGTTGGCCTGATTTTTGCTGGACAAAAACCGGGGAAAAACAGGGGAATCTGTTACCCTCTGGTAAACTTTCACATTTTGCTATGGAAAATCACCAGCTATAAATGGGAAAATCCACTATAAATCACCATTTTCAATGGGAAAATCCACTATAAATCACCATTTTCAATGGGTAAATCCACTATAAATGGCAATTTTCACTAGCAAACTGTCAGCCATTACCAGGTTGGGTAACGAGTTTTCGATCGGCAAAGTCTCCTCGACGCAGGGAACCTCATGCGTACGGCAGGCTCTCACGACAGCTCCTCAGTGGCACGACCAGGTTATCCACATCTGTGGGGAAAATACAGCAGTCGCATAGGGATTGTAATGGATACCCTCTGGTAATGGCTGACAGTTTGCTATTGAACATGGTGATTTAGTTCGTGGATTTTCCCATTAATGGTGGATCTTTCCATAGCAAAATGTGAAAGTTTACCAGAGGAAAGTGGAGGTCAAAACACCATTTCAAATTTATCACTTCGTATATAATTGCCATGAAAATGCAATGGAAAATCATGTAATTAATCAATATGTTTCATCCCATCATGTCAAATCATCCCAAGTTAAAAGGACCAACATAGGGATTCCCACTTCATTTTTGTGATGATCTCCAATCGATCACGGAGAATTTTGGATAGTTGTACCAGTATACCCCCAACAACTGATCATCAACCAGCATTTTCAAAGACTCAAACTGAGATCATCAAACTGAGGACGAAAGGGGACGCCTTTGGGCCGGTCATGGCCGGTCATTTCTGACGCCGTGGTGAATCCCCAGCAATAAAAGCTGCCAAACCCATTTCTGCTGTACGAAACACACGGGAAAAAAATAACTCAATCCATTTTTATATGTATACAATCAGAAAAAAATAAACCCTTCATCCAAAACAAATATATGGTGAAATCCATACTGTTGGAATATTCCCATACTAACAATACATGATATCTATCGTTAGAATTTACATGAATTTACCATGTCCTTCTTTTTTGGCTGATTTCAAGCCCTTCCGTCGGTCCCTTCCGTCGAAGCATCGACTCTCTTCTGGTGTCATGTCTTTGACAGCACCGAGGAAGAAAACCAGCGATCTTTTATTTGTCTCGCCTGAAGCTTCACCGCGGACAATTGGGGCTTTAAATACGATGTCATGGACTGATACCTGATGACAAAAATGAGGACATAGATTTTTTGAATAGTCTTGGTGATACCTAGGTAGAAATGAGGATACAAGAAGACATTAAAAGGGGTATAAGTGTATACATAACCAAAACCGACCAACATGGAAATATGAAATATGAGCCGACAATATCCCACAAGCATATTTCTAGTCTTGTTGCTAATCTTAATACCCTGCCACAAATCAAAACTTGTTAACAAGGTACTCTAGTCTAATATATATATATATATATATAGCACATACATATACATATTCATTCACATTTTATTCCATCGTTTTATGGCAAACAAAACCACTGGTCTACAGGTTTACTGAGTTACCAGGATTTCCGTTTGAAAAGAGGAGATCCATTAAATATTAACTGATGGTTAATGGTGGTTAATGGTGTAACCATGGTTAATGATGGTTAGTGGGTAAATCATCTATAAACCTGGTTGGTGGTATACCTACCCCTCTGAAAAATATGAGTTCGTCAGTTGGGATGATGACATTCCCAAAAAATACGATGGGAAAAATAACAAATGTTCCAAACCACCAACCAGTTAAGCATCTGTCAGTCTTCATTGATTCATTGATTCATTGATTCATTGATTCATCGCACCTTCGCTGATCAGTTCATGTAAGACATGGCAGAAGTACACGTGTTTGATATGTTCTCGCTGAAAATTAACCTATGCACCTACCAAACCCAGATTGCATCCAGCTGAGTTTGCTTTTTCGCGCGGGAAATCCCGCAGGAAAATTTGCTGTCCATTGATGATTTTCCCGATGGACATGGGGATTTCTCATTGCCATGTGGCTTTGGGTCAAAATGGTGCCAAAAAAACATCGAACTTGGGAAACTCATTTGGGATTGACACTAGTAGGCACCCCCAAATCTCCCCTAATCTCATGGTTCATCATCAGATTTCCCATGATTTCCCTTGAGTTTTTTTGGCGCCTGCATCACTTCGTAGATCTTGATCATAGAGCCCGAGGCTCTGCGGATAGGTCTGTGTTAGCGGAGGGGTTTGCTGAAAGTTGGGCCATCAGTTGGGTGCCCCTGAAGACTCACTGAGAAAATTAGCCCCAGAAAATGTTGATTTATGATGATTTATGTTGATTTAATGATTTGGATGATGATTTTCGCATTCCAAGTCATCTTTTGAGGCATGCTAAGCTTCAGCAGGGTTTTGAAAGAACCAACATGGACGATTTCACCAAGCATGTGAAACTTACAATGCTATGTCCGCAAGAAATGGTCCCATGGTGGCATCCCCCAGCAAAATCATCCAGAAAACATCAGAAAACATCTGGTTATGACTAACATAGCCATGGAAAATCACCATTTTTATATAATAGGTAAACCATCTATAAATGGGCCATTTTCCATGGCTATGTTAAATAACCAGAGGGTAACATCAAACTTTCCAAAACATACCCACCTGGAAAATCATAATCCATCCACCATCTGTCGATCATGATCTCCCACAGAAACCATATATCTTTTTATTTTCCACATCTATGTTAGAAAAAAAAACCAAATGGGTCAAATCAATGATCTACACTTCCAGCTGTTTGTCGCCCACCTCATGGAGTAAGACCACTGAAGTGGGACCAGCTCTGGAAAATCTAGCCACCTTGCTGGCGAATGGCGGGTCTACCCCAGTCCCGGTCCTTCGCGGACATTTGCAAGATGTTGCAAGATGTTGCAAGATGTTGCAAGATGTTGCAAGATGTTGCAAGATGTTGCAAGCATATCACGTGGGATACTTATTTTAACATATTGCAGTATATAATTATGTGCATAAATATATACGTATGATTATTATATGTATATGTTAATCTTAAATATGTATGTATATATAATTATATATATATAATTATATATATGTATATGTCAATCTATAATATGTATGTATATATAATTATATACATATATATATATACCCATTCACAAATCCGACATGTTGGCGCCCAACTCTTGTGATATCTTCCAATCGCCCACGGAGGCGCCGTATCATCAATGTGTCCGCCCAGAAATCGCTCGCGGTCTGGAGCAGAAATCTTCAGTCCTGGACCAAAAAGTAGGGCTGCCTAATTTGGACTCAGCAAAGTTACGGATTTTTTGTTACCATGAAACATGTAGGATTTTAAGCAACACCTATTCAAACCAACATCAAATTGGGATTTAAGAAACACACATGCTGATTGAACCAACAAAAATAGGATTTACTGAGAGCAAGAAGAAGCTGGTCACCAACCAAAATAGTGACTTTAGTAGATCAGGTGCCCAACATGTTTCCTCTACAAAGATCACCATTGTTTCACATGTTTTTAACATTTTGATGGATTGGTCAACAAATTTACCTCTCAAAATAGAACAATATCTGAGTATCACTATATATAGGTCATTAAGTTTTTTGGAACCAAGATTGATCTAGGCCAATAGACGTGAACCTTTTGGCCTTTACCAACGAGCAGTCCCGGACTTTTGCTCCGCTTGGTCTAGGGCCTAGGGAAACATTGTAAGAAATTCTATGAAATTATGTGTTTTTTTTTCTCAGATCTTTCCTGCAGATTCTTCTCTTCCAATCCAGGGATAGCAACAGCTCTTGTCCGTGGCCCAGGGGAGTTACTAGGCTTACCACTAGCTACATGCCCATTTTTGTGGAGTAAACCCATCTGTCTATCCGTCGCGACCCGTACCCCCGTTCCACCTGGCACAGCTGAACCCTCCAACGCTCGCTGGAGCACCATGATGAGATGATACTCCGAAGGTACTGGACAACTGGCCACGAAGCGAGGCGTCATGTGTAGGGCGCGGTAGTCTTCGAAGATAAACCTTGGCTACACAAGGCTGGATGGTGCACATGTTTATGTGCATACGTACATAGGTAGAACTGTATCTGAAAAAAATATGATCTGCACAATATATGTGCTTGTGTTTTTCTATATATATATATATATCTATGCATGCTGTAAAAAATGTAATTATAAACAATCTTGGGTGGTGATCTACCTGTCCCTTGGATTCCCATCATGCTGTTGCTGAATATAGATGGATCTGGATGGTGATCCCCCTGACCAGATTGATCAGTCGTGTTGAGTGGCTTTGGACTTTAGATTAAATCTAAACATGGTAGTATTTCGTAACGTCACAAGTGGCAACTCCTGAAAGGTAGACACATGAAAAAAAATAGAATGATCTCCACCTCTTCTTGGTCAATTACGCAGTTTTGATGGTTCAATCAGTTCAAGCTCCATTTATTGTTGGCAATATCATTCTCCGTTTCAATGCTTGGATCTTCCTTCTGAGAATAAATCTCCAGGTTTGTTGATTTTTCCTCGGCAAAACACCCATTTCTGTTGACAAATTCATTTCTTTTGGTGGCCAAATGCTCATTTCTGGAGATTCCCATTGTCTAAGTCCATTCCACATATAATATAGTGGTTCAATTCCCGTGTTACTTTCTGTGGGTACCAAATGGATTGAATCAAAAACAATTACGTACAGGAAACCATGACGTTTACAGCCGTTTCCCGAAATCCCTTGATTTCCATATTTCACACAGGGATCAAGAAATAGAAAACTTTGAAGTTTTCCTCAATATTCCCCAGTCTTTGTTGATGTCCAAAACGAAGCAAAAAAAATCTCGGTGAAACTGTGCAAACAAAGGGCACAATCTCATGGATATCATCCCATGCGAGCCCTCGCCCCCGCCACAGCGCAGCAGTTGCGATTCGGGCCTCGAAAATAAGGCCCGCCCCCAGGACTAACCACTGGTGATGTGGCGGTGAAGTCATGATATTGTACATATATATATAATTATATAATATATATAATATATATAATATATAATATACATATAGAATATATATATATAGAATATATATATATATAATATATATATATAATATATATATATATATTGAAAATCTATGAAAATCTATTATCATGTACATTTACAATATATGTGTAATATGCAAATATATAAATATTATTACGTATATTCCGCCAAAAAAATGGTTTGAGTTCCCTTATATGCACCACCAAAGATGGGTTTGTCTTCCAACAGGGTACCCCAAAATTACATGATGGATCATCATGTTTCACCGTTCAAACTCAAATTATGATTTTGTTGGTTGTCCCCGACACACCCGTTCCCCAAGATAGGTAAGTAGATTTCAAACCAACCCAAAACAATTGGATATATGCTGGGTGTATCGGTTGATGGGTTGATAGAAACCACTTTTTATCTCATTGTTGGTTCCTTGTGTATGTTCACTATTGCTGGTTTTATATCGCTAGTTTTAAAAACAAGAAGGGCTTTGACATTATAAATATTGCTTGACCCCACTAACTCGGAACTATAGATATATCACGATGAATCCAATCTTCAGCCTGGTTGAAAACCAATTTGCCCTCCAACAAAAACAACATAGACAGAGTTACGGCACGAGTTACGGGAAGAAACCAATATAGATATGGAAAACCGACCATTTGTAGATCCTGGAAACAACAATGGATTTCCATTAGTTATGTTTACTGAAGGGTAATAGTTCATAACTATGGGCTATGACTACGACTTATCTTCTATTTTGATATAACTAATTCAACTAAAAAAAGACTAATAAACTAATATAACAGATAAAACCAATGCAGCTAATATAATTATGATAATTCACCAACAAAGTTCATATCGATAATATAACTTCTAGAACCAATAGTTTTTAAACCATGTTTACAAACTAATACAACCAATACACTCTTAGACCCAACTAACATATTGATATAACTGATATAACTAATTACTAATCCAGAACTCACTGTGATACACTGATAAATAACTCATAGAACTAGTAGATATAACTAATATACCCCAAACACACACAAACACACACATATATATATTTATATATAATTTTATAATATTATATATATATACATGTAACATAACTCATGGTTTACTGGAGGCTACCGTCCTCGCCAAGACCGCCAAGACGCCAAGGCGTCGCGGCGGGCCACGTGCGTGGTGGTGGCTTTGAAGGTCTCGGGCGTCAGTTCGCCTGACTTCATCGGGAGATCATAGGGGGATGAGTCAAGTTAACTTGTACCCCTTCTGTGAACATCATTCAATAGCTGTTTTTTTTTTAATGGATGTTCATCATCCCGTAAACATGGTATAGGTATTGATTCATAGCCAGTTAAATAATGTTAAATGGGTTACCATCTGGGTAATTCACATAGACACTGTTAAAATGGTCCATGTTTTAGTGCAAATTCATCTTCCAACCCCTATCTGGCAGGGTCTATTTCAATTTACTGGAGGTAAAGGAATTATATAGTGTGAATAATAGTGGGAATAGAAAATACATATAGTTCTGCCTGACTTCACCATAATATGAATGCTATCAGGAATGGTTAAGTTAGTTTTAGATGATGGTCCATGGGATATCATGTAAAATATGATCTATACTTCACACCACATGGGACACAATACAAATTAGTGTTGATTTACGGTATATGATGATATATAATTATCTCTGGTAATCAAAGATTGCTTGCTGGAAAATCCTCCAATTATATAGTTGCCACGTTTGATGACCAGAGGGTAACGTATAATTTAGTGTCATTTTCTGCAAAATGTGTACACTAGAATGATTCATGTATGATGTTATTTATGGGATATCATATAAGATTAGCGGTAACATACGAAATATCTTTCAGTTTTATCGGATAAAATCCTATATAATTTGGTAAACCCAATAGTAAACCATCCCCAAATGATAATATTAGTGAGTTTACCACATTATATCAGATATCGGGATATCATTTAAAAAGTCATACAACTAACACATCTGGGGAATATTTTGGGTCATATCTTAGGTAGGTAATACTCGAACAATGTATGGATCCTATGTGAGTGAAACATGGGTCATATTTGGGGAATATATGGGTACATATCCATGGCAACATGGGGTATAGATCCACCAGCCAATTTTATGGTATTAGATATGGGCTTCCATGGTTGATTCCCAACAAGACAATCATCTCCACATGACGGGCTTTCCAGATCTATGTTAAGCCAAAATAGATGGATTCAAGCAGCAAGAAAAAAGGGATATCACCACAATGAATGATGGACATATGTCTTTAAATAAATGTAGGGTACCTCCTTTGATCAACCATTGTTTCAAATATCATGCTCCCCTCTATTTGATAAACATAAATTGGAAGCCCATGCATCATTTTTGCACAACAGCCTTTTAGAGAAAGAGGTGGCAATGAAAGAAAATGCCAAAATTATGATTAATCAGCATATCAGCGATACCTATTGAATTGATTGTTGAAATGTCCATGCAGCACATTGCAGCTAATACTTGATTTACATGTCTGGCTGGTGGTTTCAACCCCTCTGAAAAATTTAGTCAGTTGGGATGATGACATTCCCAATATATGGAAAAATAAAAAATGTTCCAAACCACCAACCAGATTTGCTTGGAAATAAGTAATAACCACTGCAAAATAAAGGAGTTGTTACCTTCTGGTGATCTACCATAGCTGCCATAAACATCAGCATTTTTTCAAGGGAAATCATGACGGAAAATGGGCTCTTGTCGCAAACTCTCACATTACCATAGGGTATGCCATCACTATCCCATTCCATCCCCATTAATATCCCATTAAACCATCGTTTTGATTGGTTAAATCACAAAACAACATTTTCAGATTCAAAGAATATGACGCTGGTTTTATATCCCATAAAATAGCCCATCATTATGTCCCATGAAATCCTGTGTTTTAATGGCTGAATCACCAATTTACATGTCCATTCTGTTCAATTATACAGGAAACCATTTTCTCCCAACCATATTCCCATCATTTTCGCACATTGTATATACCCTCCAGTAATCAAACGCAGCAATGAACAATCCCCGAACTAAATGAAGGTGTTAATTAATGAGAAAATCATCGAACTATAAGTTGATCCTTTCTCAGCTTGCCCCGCTTGATGAAACAGGATGGTATATAATAAAAGTGTTTTCACTATGGTGTATGTATATATTATATATACATACACCGTAGTGAAAACACTTTTATAATAATGATTAGAATAATAATCTAATCATTCTGGTTAACGTGGTAAACCCAACAATTTTGGGAATGGTTGGCATACAACCCCCCTATGATGGTTCTCATTGTCCTTAAGGCCTTTCCAACACGTCCCAGATGGGGGTTTCTTAAAATGGTGGATCCCCAGTCACGATGGGTTTCAGTACTAGAATGGTCATCCATGACGACTGGATGATGTGGGGTTACCCCCATGACTTAGGAAACCTCCATATCATCCATATATCATCAGTTTTCATCATATATGATGGGCCAAAATTTCAGCCCGACAAAAAACCAGAGATTTGAGATTTTGAGTATATGGAAACCTCCACATCTGTCGATCCCAAGGAGTTCCCCTGGGAATTTCTGAAAGGCCTGGTGCGGTCAGAACAAAGACCAGCTTCCCAGCGCCACTCGGCACCGCAGGCGCAGGCGCAGGCGCAGGCACTGCTGGCGCCGCGGATGGGCGGCGCAATGCAGGCCCTGGCTTGACAGTTTTTTTTGGGTTTTTGTTTGGGAAAATCCAGAGTTTCATGTGATTCTTCCAGCCTAATCCAACTCTTTGGAATCGCTGAGGCAAAGTTCATCTTCTCTTTCGAGCTTGGAAGGATGTTTGAAATTGGGACAGACATTGAAATGGTTCAAAAGGAATCAACGATAGTGGTTGAATTCAAAGAACCGAGTTCTCTCAGTTCGAACCCCCTGGAATAACGACCATCTTGGGGCTCGTCTCAGGTCGTTATGAAAAAATAAAGCATGCTTGGTACTTCCCACATGTTGGCCAACTGCATGATTTTGGACTACAAAATGAGAGTCCAGATTTTAGGTCAAAGTCTAGGTCAAAGTCATAATCCATCCTCCTTGACCATATTCCAGGACTCTTCATCCGGTTCCGTTGGACAAGATATAGGAACATAAGATGAAGACTGTCACAATACATATACATAAATACCACTATCTATCTATCTATCTGTCTATCAATCAATCTATCAGAAGCAAGCAGATCTTCCATCGATCCATCTATCCATCGATCCATCTATCCATCTATCATCTCTCGATCAATCGATCCATCTATCCATCTATCCATCTATCCATCTATCCAGCTATCCCATCTAGCCATCTATCCATCGATCCATCTATCCATCTATCCATCTATCCATCTATCCATCTATCCATCTATCCATCTATCCATCTATCCATCTATCCATCTATCCATCTATCCATCTATCTATCTATCTATCTATCTATCTTCCTTTCTATCTATCCATCCATCCATCTATCTTTACACAGTATTATACAATTAATATATACTTAATATAAGGTAATAAAGCTAAATAATACGGTTGTTTACTTCAACCCCAGTCCTCCCCAGCCCTATCCCACCTGCTTTTGGCGCCGGTCCCACGTTTTTCCGGAAGACCAGCGCACTGCCCGGCCGCGCCGCCGTAGCGTTAGCGCTGGGTGTCACCAGCGCAGCCCAGGATTTGGAGGTGCAGAGACGTTGCAATTCCTGGACACGATGCGAAGTGGGGACAAATGAATGGAATTTCATGGGGATGTAGTATCCGGCCTGGGGGTATGAATATTATTGAATATTATAGGGCCCTACAAGTACTATCAAGTACGCATGAAAATGGTGTTCTTATGTGTTTTTACAATGTTTTACTCCATCATTCCAAGACTCTTGCATTTTTTTTGAGGTATTTGAAGGGTCTTGGTTTAGGTAGTTAAGCTATGTTAAGCTAAAGGCTCCGAAATGTTGCTTCATACCCTTTATTATAAATTGGATGGTTTGACACATGTTCTCCTATCGAAAATGGTCATGAAGATCCATGAAACTTTTGGGCCAAGTCCCACCTGCTCTTGCTGCTTGAGTTTTTGCGCCAGCTCGTAGTCTTCACTCTCCACCGCACGCCTGGCTGAGGCCCCGATTTTCCCGTGGCTGGGTTGCCAGTTCTACCTGGGCTGCCTGGATGTCAGTTGATCTTGTCCCCAAGTCCCCAATTCCCAAACCAATAGATGCTCAATTTTTGTGCGGGTAATAAAGAGCTACACCACCAATTTTCTTAGTGATAGTAACTGATAGTACACATATATATATAATATGTATATATATATAAATATCTTGGGAATTGAAACTCCCCAAATCCATCATTTGATTCAAATCTGCAATCAGCCAGGGAACAGCTTTGACTCAGCCAGGGCTTGGAGCTGCAAGTGGAGTTCCAGTTGAGCTGCCTGACCTGGCGTTCAGGAAGCGTTTAGATATGTTTTTCCATATGGGGATGGGTCAAAACCCTTGTACCCCTGGTGAACCCCAAAATAGCTGGTAAATGGATGTTCATCCCCCTAAAAATGGTATGTATAGGTATTGATTCATAACCATATGTTTCCATACAAATCTAGAAAATGGATGAAACTGGCACCGTTTTATTGCTGGTACCTGATGCTTCGATTTGCTCGATGGTTTCATCGGTGTCTTTCTTTGAGCTACGACCATGTAGGGAACACCAACATCACCAGGAAAATGAATAAGCGCTGGTACATCCTCAACAGAACAGCTATTCGGATTACATCCAACCAGCCGCATCTAGCTCCAGCTTCAAACTGGAACCTCAGATTAAAATCCATTTAAATCTTTAATTTCTATAGTTGTTCAAGCATGGATCCGGAAATGAGAGGATATAAGACTTAATTAATATCAACAATCAAATGGTGGGTATGGATCATTTCACCCAAGAGTACCCTGGTCACTGACACACTGACGGCAAGCAAATTGCCAACTTCAAGCATCGAACTTTAGGGAGGTCTGGAGAGATAACTGCCCCACTTACATGCGATATCTGATATTTAGAAACACCAAGTGTGGTGACTTTGCTAGTGTTCTCCAGGTCCATCAATGGTAATGAGATGCCATAATTATGGCTATCAGGAATCATGAATGCCCTGTCATTGTATAGTCAAGGCTGATTTTTTTTGTGTGTGTATGTGTGGCTGTAGATCAAAACCGGCAACTTGGTAAACATCAACATTATTGGGAAATAGATGGTCATTGCCCAAATATCTTCGAATTTGGTATCATAGGTTTTGACCCGTCCCCATGTCAACTTAATGTGTGGTTCCCTGACAGGCCTTTCTCACGTTCACTCTGCTTCGAGGAACTCGCGGCACTTTTCGCCTATCTCAGGCACGAATCAAGTACCACAACAGTCGATTTGACTTATTGTATCTTACATGGTTACATATGGTTACTGAATATTGGCAAAGGATGGCAATATCACCTACTACGCCTTAAGGAAGAACAACAAACAAACAAACAAACAAGCAAACAAACAAACAAACAAAACAAAAACAAAACAAAACAAACAAAAAAACGAACAAAACAAAACAAAACAAAACAAAACAAAACAAACAAACAAACAAACACATTTCAACAATTTTCAACCATTTTCTTGACATGATCAGCAAAAAAAAATGTATACTTCTTGGCCTAGCAGCTCCAGCACCACGCGCAACGCTGCTAGCACGCAGGTTCGTCACGCAGTGGGTTTTTAGCATTGTGATATATGTAAATTAAATGCATTTAGCTAGATCCGAAAAAAGCATCCATACAGTTTTTATAGACCTTAAAGGCAACTTAAAGGGTTACTAAATCGCAAGTTCGAAAAGCATTAGGTTTTACTATCCTATTCATACCTCGGTGCATTTACTTTTCTGTGAACAAAACATCCGGTAACGTGCGAATATCTGCCTGACGTCAGGATGCATTTTGCGCTTCCCAAAAAAAGCATCTGGGGGTTCCCCGTTTCCTCCAGAAGTGGAAATTCTTTCAGGGTGTTGAAAAAATCAACACCACTTGGAGGTACTCGTGTGGCTCTCATGAATGTGATAAGTATCTCATGATATCTCATGCTTATCGTCACTCCAATGCATTTTTCCTATTCCAATAAAAGCATCCACGATCTAAATCAAGATAAACATATCTACTAGGATGCACAGTGGGAAAAATTCATTGGAGTGTGTGCTGAGCATCATCGGACTTGGTCATCCCTTGGGGGGTCGACCAGCCATCCTGGACCTGACTCGCCAGCCGTACGACTGTCGCCATGCAGAAAAACATGCCGTACGCCGTACGGCTGCCGTCGTGAACATTCGGCAGAATGTTCTGGAATATGTGCATATATATGTGCCGCACAAAAACCTACTAGTACCTTGAAAGGATGTCTGAAAACCCAATGTCCAAACAAAAAAACATCAAGGGAAATGGCATCCCCCACAGAGATTCTGACCCAAAGATTGATGACCCAAGCTATCGGAGAACTATGGAATAACTATCATGATGAAAACCCTGCGAACAAATTTGGATCCAACTAAAAATTATAAATAGCACGTAACTTTGACATATAAAGTATAGGTGATTACGGTTATAACAATGTTCTAACAATGTTATCGTGCTCATCATCACCAGACATCACCATCACCAGACATTTTTCCTCCAGAGCCCTTCGATTCCCCGTGCGGCCCGTGCGCCTTGGGAGCCTTGGCTTCGGCCTTGGCTTCGGTCTCGTCGTTCTGCTTGCGGGCAGCCTGGCGAGGCATCCAGTCGGAGCCAGCCATCCGTCGTGAATATCTACTAATAATAAGGATGTATGATAATATGTAACATTATTACCCATAGGATCCATGTATGGCATATATGCTAACATTGGGGGTATATGGATGGTAAATGTTACCATATATATACCATACATGGATCCTATGGGTTATACTACTACTAATACTACTAATAATGATACTCATAATACAGTAGCATACTACTCCTAATACTACTATAATACTGATACTCATAATATCTAATAATAAGAGCCAATAATAAGTACCAATGAGAATCATAATTCCATGATAGTCCAAGAATAGTAATACTAATGAGCGTCTACTATTACTGCTAAAAATACGAGTAATAAATAGTAATAGTAATGACAATACTCACAGCAACCAGCAAAGAACATGCTGGAGACGCTTTTGACTCCGAGAATCTAAAACAATCATCTCATGGTGATGACTACTAATGGGTTATCAAATGCACTTTTTATCCGCAAACTTCGACTTTTTGGAGAATCATTGTTCCCCAGTTTTCTGGAGATTTAATGCTCACTGTTGATGTGCTTGCCGAGACGGCTTTCCGCACCAAATCCATATTAAAAGGGCTTCCGAGAAGTCGGGATTTCACTAAATACGGGAGTGATATTGGTTGTTGCCAATTTGCAATACTATCTATCTATCTATCTATCTATATATATATATTTATATTTATATCTATATATAATCATGGCAAATAAAATTAAGGTTCCAGAATCCACTTATAGTGGAGCTATTTTTGAAGCCATGTCCATAAGTCGGATAAGTCTCACAAGTCCCACTGGGGATGGTTGGTGGTTTTTCGCCCTACCCCTCTGAAAAATGATGGAGTTTTAGTAACAGTTGGGATGATGACATTTTACTAACTGAATGGAAATTCATAAAATTCCATGGTTCCAAACCAGCAACCAGAAATATATGTTACTTCATCTTACTTCATGGTACTTCATATCCCAAATAAATACTGTACCACCTATCTGAAAGAACCTACACACGTTCATGTGCACAAAATACAGCACAAACAGGCCAAGTACACATATTTGAATCGCGTGTAACTAAGACTTTTCATCGCAGCCGGGTAATCGAGAACAGATTCCATATCATTCCATAATTCCATACGTGTGGGTGCAGCTAAGGTCATTAATTGGTATGCTATGACCTCCATAAGTTGAGAAAAAAAACCACTACAACCATGGTTCAATATCTACTTAACACTGGAACTGCACTTTCAAGTAGTTGGTCTGGTCAGTAAGTTACCTAACTAGGCTTGTCCCATTTGTAGCTTGTAACCCCAGGTACTAACCACTGAGCCTGCTGCCCCATAAAATCGCCTCAAAAGCGTCGGTCATGGGCGACCAAACATGCCCCTTTCTCTTGGCCGATTTCCGAAGTTCCTGTGGGGCAACCCTCGAAACGAACCTCCCAGCACCAAATCCAAACAATCCCATCCTCCTGATATTCAAGATCCCCATTCTATGGCTTCTATGGTCTCAAAATGTCTCAAATATGTGCTCTGATGCCCACTGAACATGCACGAACTGATGAACAGAATTTTTCGTTCGTGTGGGTGTTCATCTGACCCTGCAGCACGATCCAGCTCGATCCGATTGATTTGAATACGTGGTACCTCGTATTTCCAGCAGAAATGGATCATGAATCACGGTTAAACTGAGGGTCATCAAATTGGGAATACATTTTTTTAAGCGACCAAATATCACTATTAGTTACTATACCCTCTGGTAAACTGTCACATAATTATGGAAAGATCCACTATTTTCAATGGGTAAATCCACTATTTCTATGGCCATTTTCAATAGCTATGTCAGCCATTATCAGAGGGTTCTGATTCCTCCAGGTGGGATGCGGTTCGAGCCATGATGAAAGTGGGTCACCAGGTGACCGCCTAGGTCAGGTGCTGTCGAAGCATGGGACCGTGGTAAAAATGGTCATTCATCCCATATCATGGGAATGCTTATGATGGGCATTGAATTGATCATCATTGATCACCATCCCACAATATGGATATATATATATATATATACATATATATATATATACCTAGATATGGTGCAACTGTGTATATCCATATATGTATGTATATATATATACATATACAATATATATATATATATGTATATGTATATGTATATGATTATATGAGTGTGTATATATATATATAAAATGTATATGTATGTATATATATATATTATGTATGTATGTATATATATACGCATACATTACACATGTCATCTCCTGAAACATGAACTAATTTCAACCTTTAAGCGTGACTGATCAGCCGCCGTCCTGTCTTCCAGATCATAGTGGAACTTCCAGATCTGTCTTACTTTGAGGGTAAGTGGGTACTACCCTCTGGTCATCTAGCATAACCACGTTTTTTAATGGCAATGTTTAATAGGTGAATCATCTACACATGGGTAAAATTGTCCATGGCTATATGAAAATTACCAAAGAGTAACTTGTAACAAGATGTGATAAACATATTATATCATATTATTACCCACTTATAAATATGTATCCATATAATCCCTATCTATATTAATGGGCTGTATGTGAATACATGTCCAGCACGGGGATTGAACTCTTCAACAATATAGTAGATAGTAGGGTAACAATGGGTGGATAACTCAGCCAAAGAGATACAACATATATTTCTCAGTGGTGAAAAATATAACAGACAAAATGATATCGTTGTGAAGATGCTTAGATAACTCAAATAACCGAATGAGAATGTAGCAGTTAACACGTGGAATGTTGGATTCAATGAGAGTAAGCCCAAGAGTGGGGCACCAACCTAGTGGACTCAGTAGATTGATTCGTAGTTCGACTTTCAACCCGTTCCAAATCCATGTTCCTCAACGACCTGGGGTTGTTCATTCTTGGGGATGGGAACATGATAAGAGCAATCACAAGGAGGACCACAACACCAGCAACAACAACTCCAGCTGGATTGTAAAGCCAGTGAGTTGTTCAAAGGGCATAGACCCCAGAAATCTGACTCAGAGTAAGATATATCTCCCTGTGGATTTAGATCCCAGTTTGTTTCCTCCCTTTCAGACTCAATCGTTCAAGAAACAAGCTGGCAAACATTCATCATCATGGGGTCAATGATCCCCTCCAGTAAATTAACATAGACCCTGCCAGATAGGGGTTAGAAGATTAGTTTCCATTAAACATTGGGGGTCCAACTGTTTATTTGCCAGAGGGTATTCTTTTGAAACAAAAACAAACAACTCCTCTTCTGTCCGTTTTGCACCTCTGTGAATCGCCGTTTGATCATCAAAGTTCTCATTAAAAAAATTGCCATACAAAGTGGTAGCTATACATGGCCAATCGAAAAAAATACCCTGCAATGGCCATGCAAATCGTGTTTGTATCATATATCTATATATCAAAATTATCAACACATATTGCACATAATTAATATGTCAAATATGAATATGTATACATCTATATATATATATCAAATATTAGTATATCACATATACTCAATGTATCACATGTATATATTGAGATATCAGTATTATATACTTAATATCAATATCTATAATATATACACACATGATACATACAATCGATGTATCATCACAAGCTGATGTATATAACATAGAACTGGATGATGGGAAAATTTACAGGAAAGCCCTATATTTGATGGTAAAAACCATGGTTTCCTGTAGATTTTCCCTTAAACCAATCCATTGAATATAACATAGCTATTGAAAATCACCATTTTTAATGGGAAAATCCACTATTAATGGTCATTTTCAATAGCTACGTTAAATTACCAGAGGGTATAGATGTTATAAGATATCCCACGTCACATCAGCTACCCATCCAAGGGATCCAAGGGATCCCAGCCTCCACTGACTCCACTGGGGCCGCGGATGCACTCCGCCGGGAACGGGCCGCCTTTTGTCCAACTGATCCATCCCAAACATGTATATAACTATAATATAATATAATATAACATAATATAATATAATATATATATATATATTAATATAATATTATATATATACATATAAAGTTATATATATGTATATAAATATATATATATATATTATATTACGTATCTGTTACATATGTCCGTATATAGATATATACATACTCTTACACAATTTATGGTTGAATTATAGTTCACAAACCTGAAACTAATTGCATGATTCCCTGCAATCCTAATCATCATTCCAGAAATTCGTCACGTCGTGGTCATTATAATTCATCAAAAGATATAATACATGTTAATTATAGATACCTAGACCCTCCAAATCCCTCAAAATGATACTAAAAAGTACTAGTTCATAGTTCATGCGTAAAAACACATGTTTTCTGGGTACTTGCAGGGTCTAGGTATATATATATACATATATAAGTATATAAATGACATAAAACATATATAAAACATACAAATGCAATTTTTTGACATAGCACATCTTGAGATCATGACCACAGCAACCAGATGAATCCGTGAGCCTCGTGGGCCTCTGCGGAAGCCTCGTGAGCCCCGGAAGCCTGGCCCAGAGAAATAGATGGTTTACCTGGGGTTTTACCTATTACCCTCTGGTAAATTAACATAGACCCTGGCAGATAGGGGTTGGAAGACTAGTTTCCATTAAAAAATGGTGGTTTTCAGGGTCTATGTTGATTTACCAGAGGGTAATAGCATGGTGATTTTTCCCTAACCTGAGGTATACCATGGTATAGATGGCCCATAGAAATAGATGGTTTTACGTATTAATAGCATGGTGGATCTTTCCATGGCAAACTGTGAATGTCATAACCAGAGGGTATATGAAACCATATATAACCTCAGGAATGAATAAATATATCTGGGTAAATAATCCCATATTTCACTCACCTGAATAGAATTAAGGCCATGAAAGGGGATGATTTCCCTTATTAATCAAGATTCCAGTGAGGGAGAACAGTGAGGTAGTTATAATTTACCCTGATATATGATTCATATAATCATATGTGATCATTGTCATATATGCTACAGTATATTTATATGATATAATCATATATCCAGTGCTTCATGCGTTCGTAATTATATACATATAAAACTATACACACAGTTAAATACGTGTTTTAATACATAATACCATGTAATACTGTGCTGGTTAGGTATACATAAAGCATATGACAGAGAAAACTCTGCCATGTCACTCAGTAATCCCTTTGATAGATTTCGGGAAATCCAACCCAAATTTTAGTGGTGAATCATGCGTTTTCTATCTTTTTGGGATTGGGAAACAAGAGGCTCATGATATGTCAATATGCATCCCCGTATCAGGACCAGCTGAGTCTTTACGATCTTTGTCAACATTCTTAGCTATATATCGCCAATTTGGTTGTTGACATTTGACATCTCCATTTTGTTTTAAGCAACGACATATTCTGGTTGGTGGTTTCAACCCCTCTGAAAAATATCAGTCAGTTGGGATGATTGTTCCCAATATATGGAAAATTAAAAAATGTTCCAAACCACCAACCAGTGTTCTAAAGGCGCATCCTCTACAAAATTATTTTGTGAGGACACGACCAACATCATAGTTCTGGATTATTCACCAGCCTGGAACGTTGAGTCGCTGTTGACCCAGGTCTTGGATTCTCATCTCCCAGCATATTGTTAGCAATAATTGTGTTAAAATATGTTAACATTATATCCCCTTGGGATTAAAAAAACATCATCATCTTCCCATATATTCCCATTCTACTTCAATATCTGTGACTTTCCAGTGTGTTCCACCACATTTTTGCTCGCCTCGAGAGGTCTCAGAAACTGAGCGCCGGCCTCCTGGGAGTTGGTAGGATCCCCCGAGGTTTTTATGGACCAAAATATATGGAACATCCACCATTTATAGATTCTAGATCATTTCAGTGGGAAAGATTGGGAAACTCAAGATTTTCTATATCTATCTTAGTTTACCTGAAGTGTATCCTCTGAAACACATGTCAAGCTTTACCAAGGCTTGGAAGCGGCGCTACCAAGGCGGCGTTTCTGGATTTCGGGAACATCGGGGGATTTCGTCTGCAAATCTTGATGGGCCTTAGTTTACAGCGCCGCCCGAGACTTCTCCTTGAAATCTTCTACTAGATAGCTTCAATTCATGATATTCATGTCATCATAACACCCATAGGATCCATGTATGGTATATATGCTAACATTGGGGGTATAGTGATGGTAAATGTTACCATATATACCATACATGGATCCTATGGGATATCATAACCATGTTTTTAACCATGTTTTTTTTTTTTAACGTGGCCTTTTTCCATGCTCATTGCATCTCTTCGCCATGTTTCCGGCACCTGCTTGCCGTCTGCACTTCTTGCAGCCCTTGGCGCAAAACGATGCGCGGCTTCCCCGTTTCTGAAATAGCTCCGATGGTTGTACCCGTATCCGATTACTGTACTGGTAAAAAAACACCAGGTCTGCATGGATCGTGTAGCTTATCAAGTGAGATTGTCCGAACATTCCCCAAATCCAATGACTGATCATCATTTTGGCAATAAACAAATCACAATTATTTTCAGTATCTCTACGTGTGGACACACCCATTTCCACATTTTTTGCAGGTTAACTCACGACGTTGCGCTTGGTGAAAAATCCCCAGTTTGGATGATTTTGGATGGTTGAATCCATATAGTGTCTCTGAAAAAATGGGGGCCCCCAACATGATCATTTTAGATCATTTTACTATGGACTAAAAAGAGAAAAGCCACTAAGATTGGGGGTACCCTATCTATCGATTGGTAAGCTCTTAGTTCCTTGGCTCCCAGCCGCTCCAGATTTAACATAGTAGGTAATATATCATAGTATATCCCTTGCTCCTTAGCTCCCTCCTAACCAGCAAAATCCACTGAATATCCATTTTCAGATAAGAACGTCTAATTATGAATTCATACCTTCATGTTGCAGTTTCCACCGCCAAACACCCTTGAGCCCCTTACAGCGCCGTGACGGGCGCAGCCACGGGCTGAGTAGGCGCAGCCGGCTGGCGGCCTTGCACGGGCTTCTCGTTGAGATGATGATGATGATGCTGATGATGATGATGATGATGATGAATATGATAATGATAATGATGATGATTATTATTATAAACTATTATTATTACTGAAATAATGATTATCATCATGTTTGTTGTTATTTATTGCCAGTGTTTTTTTGGAATATTGTTATGCTGTAATTCAAACTCTTGTCATGATTGATTTGTGTTGTTATATAATATATAGTTGTTGTAATTGTAATGCAATTGTTGTTATGATCATTATTGTGATGATGGTCATCAATTTTCAGAAATGCAAATACGACCATTCCTACCATCATTTTATGGTTCTGCTAATCAGTGACATTATGATATAACGTCATGCTTGTTATTATATACTATTTGCTATCATTCACTACTAATTATTAGCACTAGTATTGCTTATTTATTGCTTATTACTATTATTATCATTATAGATTATGTTACAGTAATCATATACCACTTATTATTATAGCAATATTTATTATAGATTATTATTAGATACCATTAGTATATACTACTATTATTATCATTATTACACTTATTATTATCATTATAGAAACATTATTATCATTATAGTTATAGTTATGATTATTTCTATATAATTATCATTAGAAATCTAAGATAACCAAATACCCTCTGGTAATTTAACATAGCTATTGAAAATGGCCATTTATAGTAAGTGTTCCCATTAAACATGGTGATTTTCCATTGCTATGTTAGTTCACCAGAGGGTAACTGGTCTGTTATGATTATAATAACAGTGGTGCAAGGGCTCACCAGCTCCACCCCTCCTGGCTCTCGAGGCTCTCGAGGACCGATCACTACCGATGGACCAGTCACACCTGACATTTTCGCAGCAGCTCGTGGGCAGGTAACGTGTTGTTTCCACAAAAAACAATATAAAACAAAAATGTCATGTGGAATATGAATAAATTCTATAATTAATTAAATTATACATGTCTATACCTTCAATCTTGCTAAGTCCTTTAGAGAAAATGATATATGTTGCTATATTATGCTATATTAGTTACTGAACATTGGGTAAGCAAAGTGTCTGGAAATCTGTCAAACTGCAAACATGCTGACTTGACACGTGTTCATGATTCTTTATGAGTGATTTTACCTCCAAATTGTATCAAATTGTGTACATAGTATTCTCCAACTTTTGATGGGGTCAACACATACTTGCTTGTGTAAAGGGGTCATTCATGAACTACTAGTATGATGTGAAGAGTGAATGATCTCCAAAACTCTTGAAGAATCAGCAGATTGACTCTGGAGTTTCATCGAAATCTGCCACTTCCAAGGCCCGTGCTCGCCACGCGAGATGCTGAAATGCTTGGTGTAGCAACTCGCTCCATGGGACGTTGACCTTGCGGTGCGCGGATGGACCACTTTCCGATTGGCCGATCCCTGCAGGCACACCATGGATCTACATGCTATGGCTATGGGTCACAATTTTGGCAAACGAAGCGGCAAAATGTGCGGGTCCCTGGAATTTCTGACCCACATCCGAGAAATGCACTGCGGTGAAAAACTAACGAAGCTCCAACAAAAACTCGTCGTCGACTGCTCCACATTGATGACACGTCACTCTGGAACACTGTGGACGGAGAACCAAAACTCAGGTTCCTCTAGGACCTCCAACCTGGACCTCGTCCATCAGCACTGGCCCTCCGTTTTTCGGCCGCGCGCTTCTCTGCGTCGCGGCCTCCCCGTAGCCGCATCGCATTTTTGGAGAGTTGGGGGGTATTTCAACCTGGAGCATCCTTTTCCGAGAAATTTCTAGCATGTCTTGCTTTAAAGTTCAGAATTTCAGGAGTTTCAATGAACTTTTCAGTGACCAGTCGATGACGTGATCAGTCAGGTGGGTTCTAGCAGATTCGATTGCATGACTTTTTGGGACTTGCGGAGTTTGACGTTTTTTTTGCGGGAATTTGACACTTTTGTTCTGTGAGTTTTGCGGGTAATTTTTGATGTTTTTGAACATCAAAAACTAAAGATAAAACTACATGTCATGCAGAAACCTTGCAGCCAGCGACATCCACAACTCATTGGTTTTGGATGAACTTCAAGGAAATTCAGTCAAATAAGGATGTTGATCGATTTCACATCGTTCTGCGCAAAAAAAGACCGGTCCAGGAAGGTTTGGTTTGGATTTGGGATCCACGACACTACAACGTGTTGTTAACCTATGCGCTTCAAAACCTAGAACATTCTGCCGGCACATGCGGAATCACCGAAGCATAGATGTTCAGCAATCCTGTTCAACCCAAAACCATGGAAACTTCGCAGAAAACGAGACCTGTTTGGACCCAGAAATGAACTGGCCATTTGCAAGTTGAATAATTACCCATCCCGAACATGTGAAAATACCTACGCATCACCTACGTATGGAAATCCAAACATATGTACCTACTTGGTTCCCAACTACTTGCGTGGGTCTGAGATCAACCAGCTGACTATACCAGTTACCAGTTAGAAAGGGGGCTATCTGCCAGTCACAGCTTAGCTGTGGATATCCAAATGCACCCGGGTGGTTCTTGTAATGCCTAAGTCCCCCATTGCTGATGGGTGGATGCCAATCAGTGACCTCTTTCTCCTGCTAAGATCTCAAACCTTGAATCCAGTGATTTTCGCTGTACCCTCTGGTTATGACTAACATAGCCATGGTATGCCCTAATCGAAATAGATTTTTTTTTCCCAGCCTCTTAACCTCCATGGTATTTCAGGGATTTTAACAATTTTCCATGGCTATGTTAGTCATAACCCATAGGATCCATGTATGGTATATATACTAACATTGGGGGTATAGTGATGGTAAATGTTACCATATATACCATACATGGATCCTATGGGGATGGTAAATCCTCATGTTCCTCCGTCAAATCTCCCCCTCTCTTTATGTCAAGGCCTCTCTTCGGAGCCCGTGAAGCAGACCTACCAAGAGATCGGAGTGCGCAAGGCCAGCTGATCCACTGGTGGGTTTTGACCTGTAAAAAACGATTAATTGCCGCTAGGGATGGTAAGCCAACAAAACAAGGAACGGTGGAATTTACCTCTACTTCATATCAACAGGACTTTCTATGATCCATTTTAGTAGGACTTTCCATTGTAAATCATCCATTTGGGTAGCCCTATTTTAGGAAACCTCCATATGACTTTATGCTTTGTCTTACCCTCTGGTAATTTAACATAGCTATTGAAAATGACCATTTATAGTGGATTTTCCCATTAAAAATGGTGATTTTCCATAGTTATGTAACAGTTTACCAGAGGCTCAGAGGGTATGTTTTTGTGGATTGCTATGATCTCACACTTCGTGACGAAGGACTACCAATTTCCAATTTCCTGCTATTGATGTCCACCCGAATAGCAAGCCATGGTTGGTTGATCTCAAAAAAAACTGAAGCCTTGAAGCCTTCAGAAGCCTCCTCCGAAATAGCGAGAATTTGTGGGCGAAACATGGTAGGCGCCCAATTCAACAGCCTTTTCGTGGCTAAAAAGCCAGCCAGCCTCATCCCCGGTTGACATTCCCTGCCTCGTTTGCTGCTTTTCACCTGCGGTGGGTGAGAACACCGCTCTTCTGTGGGCAACGTACCGCCAAGTAAGTGGTGGTTGACTCTTGGAAGTCTTAAGGTATGCTTCTGAATATCCCATGATCATAGCACTATCACGCAAATCATCCAGATATAGTGACAGTTATGCTACTTGGAATCTACCTCAAAAGTCATCCAAATATCAAACAGTCAAGTTCTCCAACATGTGCTATAGTCACCTAAAATGTACGTTCAAAAAAAATATGTTGAGGGAAAACAAATCAGTACAAATCATACATCTTCATCCTGTGGGCCCCACCTTTCTCTTGAGGAGGTTTGGGCAAACGCGCACCAAATGCTGCCAACTCTTCTCTTGAAACGCTACACTCCTCCAACCTTTGCGCAAAGGTACCATCGGTTTTTGTGAAACGCTGTGAAAACCACAGGTAGGAGCTGTAGCAATGGAAATCGACAACGGGTGCCATCTAATGTTCAGTAAACATGGGTGAAGTGTGGGTCTAGTATCTTGCAGGCCCGAACCTCAGAAATCAGAAAGAACCGTTGCAATATGGCTTGAACTTGCTACTTCTTTTGTGAACCTTATCTAGTCGGTGTGGCAGTATTTTGTTTGCTTCCGGTGATTTATATATGGCTATGAATCCAAATCCCAGTACCCTGGTGAACACCAAAATAGCTAGTCATGTTGGATCCTGATTATCAGCTAGGTTCGCTATTTTGGCTTAAAAAAATGGCAGGCCATGTTTTTTTCTCAAAACAATAGTATCTCTTTCTCTTTTTCTTTCTCGTTATCTTTATGTTTTTTTCTTTCTCTTTCTCTTTTGCTTTCTCTTCCTTTTCCTCTTCCTTTTCCTCTTCCTCTTCCCCTATCTCTCTCTCTCTCTCTCGTTCTGTTTTTTTTCCTTTTTCTTTCTCGTTCTCTTTCTCTATCTCTTCCTATTTCTCTTTCTCGTCCTCTCTCTCTTTCCTTGTTACACCTTTCATAAAACCTTGAGGTGCAAAAGGGAACGCAAACAACATTCTGAACCCCAATCACTACAAGTACTACCAGTACCACAAGTTTACCGGTAAAAAAATAATTAGATGTTCATCGTCGCCAATTAAAATCCGTACTTAAATGTATGATCGTATTTTATTTGGGGAACAGCTTTTTTAAAACTCAACTTTAAAGAAAGTACAGCATTCGTTTGACGGGGGGGCTACACTCGAAAAAAAGGACGGAACATTGATGTTCATCCATGTTCCTGCCCTCCAATAATAAATGGTACAATGATATAGGTGTTCGTCCATCCCCATAATATAAATGGATGATGTTTTTGGAGTAGCCACGACCTTCCCGCTGGGCCACAGAAGCACCAAGGGCAGCGTCAACCTGGCCCAAGCACCAGGGGTAGACAACAAATTTATGACCTCACTGGGAGACATCTATAGCTGTTGGGGGATTGGGAATCACAAATTTTACATCCCCATCACAATTTATGTTGTCCTTTTTCGGTAGACTTCTACAAGGAACCACTATGTTTTGGGGGGGCAAAACAACGGTGTGGCGCAGCACTTTGTTGACTTCGTTGACCCATCTCCCATTGGAAATGGCGATCACTGAGGCAGCCGACGACTGGCCACTCGCCAGAAAAGCTTGTGCAATCATTTTGCCAACCACCTGACCATGTTGGAACTGAAGCAAGACTCATTCTGCTTCGTCAAAAAAAAATCCCGTTTCCCCATCTTTCCTTGTTGTTCAGAATATGTCTGGGCTCTGTTTGGGGCCCCTGTTTTAGGGCTTCTTTGGACTTTCTTTGGGGATTTCTTTGCGTTGGTTTAGGTTGTGTTTAGGTTTTCTTTAAGGTTTGTTTAATATGTTTTAAGTGGTTATATAATTTGTTGAAAGTTTGTTTAGGGCATGTTTATGATGTGTTCAGGGTTTGTTTAGGGGTTCGTTGAGAAATTGCTTAGACTTTGTTTAAGGTTTCTGTGGGTGTCTTTGCGGGGTCTTTGGGGGCTCTTCAAGGCAGAGTATGTTTAGGTTTCCGGCTGCAATGTAACTCACAGAGGCACACATAAAAACAACAGTTAAAAAAACTGTGCGGAAAGCAGCCAAGCAGCTTAAAGCAGAAGAAGCACAAGCAAAGGAAAGCAAGAAGGAGACGACATATGGGAAAAGAGAAGCAGATGCAGTGGAAACGCAAAAACTCGCAAAGCTGAGAAGCAAAAGAAGCAAAGAAGCACCCAGATAGGAATCGCAAGAACAAACATAAACAGAACAATAACAGAAACACTGAATAACAATCAAAGAGAAGCGAAGGAAAAACCGACAAGCAGAAAAGCTGAACGTTGAGAAGCAAAGAAACCGAAAAGCAAATAGGAAGAAAACAAAGAAGCACATTGGATTCCACATAAGAATAACAAAAAACAAAACAATTCACCTCAAAAAGAAGAAACAACGTGTCCCCTCCCCATTCTATATTCTGGTTAGTTCAATGCATGCCTTGTCGAAGTCAAATCCCATGCCGCCTTTGTCCAATCCGTATGTTGGTTGCTTTACTTATACTTGATAAACATCTCCCTATGTTTTCCGGTTCAGCCCCCATTTTTGTTGAAAAAACACCATTCTTTACTGCTTATAATCTCCCCAAAGTCTGCTGGTTCTGCCCTGATTGTTCTTGCCCTGGATCAAAATTTTCCCTTCTACATTTCTTTGGTTCAATGGATTGGTTTGAGGGAAAATCTACAGCAAACCATAGATTTTCCGATTCGATATGAGGCTTTCCTGCACTTTTTTCCTTCAACCACTCCATTGATTGGTTGAGCTTCCCTGATTGGTGGCTTCAAACGATTCCAGATATTCCAGACATAATCACTGAGGACCACCATCCTATTTCAACAGTTGAAACCACCAGCGAATCTTTGGTTGTACTCTATGCCTATTGTTGAAATCTCCCAATTTCTAGATAGTTACCTTCTGGTGATTGAACAGTCTGGTGATTGAACAATTTGCTAGATTGGAAAACCATTTATAGATCATCAACATGATGATTTTCCAATGATTTACCCATATTTACCTATAACAAATGGTGCTTGTCCAGCAACAGTCTGATGAAAAAAAAACGCCCCCGGCCCGCCGGGCCGAGGGCCTGCGGTTCAGCTGCCACCTTTCTGGCAGCTTTCAGCAGCTGGGCAGTCTGGGCAGTGCACGCAATGCCAGAGACACAAAGTCATATTAATGGAAGCCAAAGATCATACACATATGTTACATATATTAATATTTCATATCATATGTGTATATACACATATTATACACATCGATTTTGACAAAAATGAACAACATATATTGACTATGTTGATATCAATAGTTGTGTTTTCGTAGAAGTCACAGTCCTGACCGATACCATGGGCTCTCACATTGGGGCCTATCCGTCCATCCACCTCCGTCCACCTTTTTGTGTATCACCCCAGCAATCAGAAGCATTCACGGGTCGTTGTGAGATCGCCATATGCCGCTATATAGCCCCCAAAGATAGAAACATTGGTAGGTTTTTTACTATGTTTTACTATGTTTTTAAAAATATGTTTTACTTTTTTCTTTGGGCTTGAAGATTATAAGACTATGCCATGCACCTTCTCAGTGCACTGAAGCTCAACATTGACAGGCCAGCCTTGGCTTTGGTACTTTGACCACTTTCTTGGCCTGCACAGACCAGCACAATGGCTGGTGAACACTGACCGTCTTATGGGATTTCAGCAACAGCACATGGTGAGAAAAATCAGAAGATGCACGAAAGACACCGTAGATATGCTGTAGGTTTGTTTGGGGCCTAAATGGGGTAGTCAGCAACAAACATTTTGGCCGCAACCTGGTCCACCAGGAGTGAATTCTGCACCTGCTTTCATCAACTCTTGTGCGCGAGCTTGCGGCTCCAGGGCTTCAAATTCTTTCAGCAAGGTCCTTTTTTTGGCTCCCAGAGATCCAAAGCTGGGGTTCCCAAACATCATCAGATTTGAGGCTTCCCATGGGGGGAAACTGTTGATCTGTGTCCTCCCCAATCCCTCTGGATCCTCCCATCTTGGGTCTCCCAATGTCCACCAGGGCTCTGAGCTGCTTCCTGCTCTTTCAGATCTCTTTCCCAGCTCCTGGTCATCGATTTCATGGCTGCGCGCAGTTTCTTCCTCGGCATCGAGAAGATGGTGAACATATGGCTAATCAGAGTCGATTCTTCTACTGGATATGGCCATTTGTATGTCCAAAAGTCAGAAATGGGAAGGCTGAGTTGGGCTGAAGTTGATTCAAGGCATTGAATAAAAAAAAACAGACCTGCCTGGCAAAAATTCAACCGTAATTCCAATGCATTCACGTTGAGCCACTGTCTATGTCTCTGCGGTGCAGTTTGAGTACTCACAGTTTCACCTACCTGACATGGTGGTCCTTGGCTTTCTGAAGGTGTTGTCGTTCAAAACCGGTTTTCACGTCACGCATGTTTCTTTTTTACCTTGTCAAGATCAAAGAGAAGCACGCAACAACCTGTTCTCTTCTTGAAGAGGTGGCGCATGGTTTTTGAATGTGTTTTGTGAAGACCTTCCAAGCGGTCTTGAAAGGGGTACGGCTTTGTGATGCATAGAGTATATGTTGGTAAGGTTCGAACGAGTCCGAATGGGTTCGAAGAATTCCTGGAAAAATAACAATGGTATCCAAACTCATCATTTTTTTTTCTGGCAAGTTCAGTTTGAACCACAGCCATTCAGATGCACCCAATCACAACAATCCCCCGGGTCACGCAGCAAGACACTCGTCGACCAGGCAGGGCATCACTTCTGCGCCCAGTTGACGCATGAGCTTCGCAGATAGGAAGGAACAGAGCGAATGATCTCCAGCGACCAAGCCCTTCCTCGGGACCGAGCCAACACAAAAAACATGTCATTCGTAGATCACATCCCATAGGTTTCAGGCTCTTGATCCATTCCCATTCCCCCTTTTTTTGTGGGCCCCAGCTGAAAGATCGGGGAGCCAAGTCTCAGAGCCAGGTACATTAGTTGACCTTGACGTTCCAAAGGAGGGGCTGGAAGAGCCTTGCCCTCTGGCCCATCGGTGACGATCTGCACACCTGGCTGCTCCCGGTTTGTGGACCAACAGCTGGTAATAAGTTGGACATGTTTCCAAGCCATTGAATGTTTCTGAGCCAAAACCACATGGGGGTAGGATCTTACTGTATATTACTGTCCAAGAAACAGTTGAACACAAAGAACTGTTGAGTTTCCATCAGACTTTTGCTGCACAGTGTGACCCTGAAACAAATGGAGACGCTGGGATGATCTCTTGAGGAAGTCAATGCTTAGATAACCATAGATAACCTATGATAGAGAGATATGTATATACTGTACAAGGCTAACAGGTAAGATGGAATGTATGCAGCTATAGCCAATCTATTCCACTTCCCGATTAAAGCTGTTGGCAATCCATTCCTATTGCCATTTCCTAACATAACTCAGGAGCGTCCTAGCACAAATGATCAAACGCGGTGCATGTAATACGAACGATGCTGGCAACGCTGCGTGTCGCACATTAGGTACTTGTGTGGTTGAAAAGGCCGGTGATCCATGATGGTAAATACATATACAATCATATACACACATATGTATATATATATGGGGGTTGTCCTAAATTACTGTTCCCACAAAGGCCTCTTGGGCCGAGCTTGCGCCAACCTTGCGCGTTTCTTGCGCGACCACACTCCCGGATCACTTTCATCATTTCAGTTGTTTTTCATCATTATTCTCGTACTTGTTTTCGAATGTTAAATATTTAGTATTCACTTAGTATTTCGTACTGGGAAGTAGTTTGTGCAAGCTTTGTAGTACACAGTAGTACTGGGAAGTAGTTTGTGCAAGCCATGTAGTACAAAGTAGTACTGGGAAGTAGTTTGTGCAAGCTTTGTAGTACACAGTAGTACTGGGAAGTAGTTTGTGCAAGCTTTGTAGTACAAAGTAGTACTGGGAAGTGGTTTGTGCAAGCTTTGTAGTACAAAGTAGTACTGGGAAGTGGTTGTGCAAGCTTTGTAGTACACAGTAGTACTGGGAAGTGGTTTGTGCAAGCTTTGTAGTACACAGTAGTACTGGGAAGTGTTTGTGCAAGCTTTGTAGTACACAGTAGTACTGGGAAGTGGTTTGTGCAAGCTTTGTAGTACACAGTAGTACTGGGAAGTAGTACTGGGAAGTAGCTCTGCACGTGTTGAACTTCTGTGGTTTCAGAGCGGTTTCAGAGTGGTTTCAGACCCTTTCGGGGGGTCTAGCTGACCTTGATGAAAAGAACAATTTACAGACAGAAAAGACTTGAACACAACATACAAGGAAATACATTTAAAGAGCAGATAGATAGATAGATAGATAAATAGATAGATAGATAGATAGATAGAGATAAAGCAGCCAACGCGGTCCGGAAGACATGCAGCAGCAGCCCGGAGATGGTGAGCAGGAAGGTGTTTCAGAGTGGTTTCAGACCTCTTTTGGGCTTGTTTTTTGGGTACCCCCAGCTTTGGGAGATGAAAAAAGAAAGAGAAAAGGTAGAGAAAGAGAGAGAGAGAGACAGAGAGAGAGAGGAAGAGGGAAAGAGAGAGAGAGAGAGATAGAGAGAGAGAGAGGAAGATGGAAGATGGAGACAAACAGAAGGCGAGAGAGAGAGAGAGAGAGCGTTGTAAATGGTGAGCAGCGGGGTGTTTCAGAGTGGTTTCAGACCTCTTTTTGTCCGTAGGCTACCTCAGCTTTGGAGAAAAAACAGGAAAGAACGGGAAAAGAAAGAAGAGAAGGGGGAAAGAGACAGAGAGAAAGAAGAAGTCTTGAGACGGTGAGCAGGAAGATGTGTCGAACTGGTTTCAGACCTCTTTTGGGGCCGGTTATGGGGCTACCTAGTCTTAAGACATCCAAAAGAAGGGGCTCAAAACAGATTGTACTTGAAACACATGCGGTCCGGAAAGACGTGCAACGGTCCGGAAAAGCAAGCACCCAAAACGTACTCTAATCGTAGCGATTGCGGTCCGGAAAGGCATGCAGCGGTCCGGAAAAGCGAGCACCCAAAACGCACTCTAATTGTAGACATTGCGGTCCGGAAAGATGAGCAGCGGTCCGGAAAAGCAAGCGCCCAAAACGTATTCTAATTGTAGCCATTGCGGCCCGGAAAGACATGCAGCGGTCCGGAAAAGCAAGCGCCCAAAACGTACTCTAATTGTAGATATCGCGGTCCGGAAAGACCTGCAGCGGTCCGGAAAAGCAAGCACCCAAAACGTACTCTAATTGTAGCCATTGTGGTCCGGAAAGACGTGCAGCGGTCCGGAAAAGCAAGCACCCAAAACGTACTCTAATTGTAGCCATTGTGGTCCGGAAAGACGCGCAGCGGTCCGGAAAAGCAAGCACCCAAAACGTATTCTAATTGTAGATATCGCGGTCCGGAAAGACATGCAGCGGTCCGGAAAAGCAAGCACACAAAACGTACTCATTGTAGCCATTGTGGTCCGGAAAGACCTGCAGCGGTCCTGAAAAGCAAGCACCCAAAAAGTATTCTAATTGTAGACATTAGGACCGCTGCAGGTCTTTCCGGACCAGAATGGCTACAATTAGAGTACGTTTTGGGTGCTTGCTTTGTCTCTCCTCTCTTTCTCCCTTCTCTTCTTTCTTTTCCCGTTCTTTCCTGTTTTTTCTCTAAAGCTGAGGTAGCCTAAGGACAAAAAGAGGTCTGAAACCACTCTGAAACACCCGCTGCTCACCATTTACAACGCTCTCTCTCTCCTCTCCCTCTTCCTCTCTTTGTCTCTCTGTCTCTCTGTCTCTCTGTCTCTCTGTCTCTCTCTCTCTCTCTCTCGCCTTCTGTTTGTCTCCATCTCTGTCTCGTGCTATCCTCTTTTCCCGACCGCTGCATGTCTTTCGGACCGTAATGTCTACAATAAGAGTACGTTTTGGGTGCTTGCTTTTCCGGACCGCTGCACGTCTTTCCGGACCGCGATATCTACAATTAGAGTACGTTTTGGGTGCTTGCTTTCCGGACCGCTGCAGGTCTTTCCGGACCGCGATATCTACAATTAGAATACTTTTTGGGTGCTTGCTTTTCCGGACCGCTGCAGGTCTTTCCGGACCACAATGGCTACAATTAGAGTACGTTTTGGGTGCTTGCTTTTCCGGACCGCTGCATGTCTTTCCGGACCACAATGGCTACAATTAGAGTACGTTTTGGGTGCGTGCTTTTCCGGACCGCTGCAGGTCTTTCCGGACCACAATGGCTACAATTAGAGTACGTTTTGGGTGCTTGCTTTTCCGGACCGCTGCTCATCTTTC